AGGTTTTGTGGGCAAGGGGCTTGGACTTCCAGCAAGCGTGCATGAGCGTGTTAGATAGGAGTGAATGGAGACGAATGGTACTTGGGACCTGACGATCTGTTGGAGTGTGAGCAGGGTAATATTTAGTGAAGGATTCAGGGAAACCGGTTATTTTCATATAGTCGGACTTGAGTCCTGGAAATGGGAAGTACAATGCCTGCACTTTAAAGGAGGGGTTTGGGACATTGGCAGTTTGGAGGGGTATGTTGTGTATCTTTATACGTACATGCTCCTAAACTGTTGTATTCTGAGCACCTCTGCAAAAACAGTGATAATGTGCGAGTGTGGTGAAAGTGTTGAATGATGATGAAAGTATTTTCTTTTTGGGGATTTTCTTTCTTTTTTGGGTCACCCTGCCTCGGTGGGAGACGGCCAACTTGTTGGAAAAAAAAAAAAAAAAAAAAAATCTCAAACTGGCGATCTAAAAAGAAAAAAAAGTCTCTCTCTTTTTCTCTATGTCTGTCTGTCTGTACATTTTATTTTTTAACACATCAACCATTTCCCACTGAGGCAGCGTGACAAAAAAAAAGAAAAAAAAAAAAAAAAAAAAAAATCATCATCATTCAACACTTTCACCATCATTCATACATAATAACGGTCTTTGCAGAGGTGCTCAGATACAACAGTTTAGATGTCCCTCCAAACAGCCAATATCCCTAACCCCTCCTTAAAAATGCAGGCATTGTACTCCCCACCTCCAGGACTCAAGTCCAGCTAACCAGTTTCCCTGAATCCCTTCACAAAATATTACCTTCCAACAGCTCATCAGGTCCCAAAAAATCATTCATCTCCATTCATTCTAATCTAAAATGCTCACGCACGCTTGCTGGAAGTCCAAGACCCTTGCCCACAAAACCTCCTTTACCTCCTCCCTCAAACCTTTCCCAGGATGACCCCTACCCTGCCTTCCTTTCCTTACAGATTTATAAGCTCTCCAAGTCATTCTACTTTGTTCCATCCTGTAAACATAAAATTCCTAATACAGCTATTGCCTATTAAATCTTAAGTTAGTCCTAAGTCCACCTAAGACACGCTTCTAATATATAAGCTTTAATAGAAACAGACAAATCCAATCCCATTTACACATTTACAAACCCTCCTCAATTTTTTTTTTTCAACAAACCGGCCATATCCCACCGAGGCAGGGTGGCCCAAAAGTACATACATATACAGCTAGCCCTTCACTTTTATGAGTTCCACTTTTGCCAGCTTCGAACATTTGCAAATGCCCAGCCGCCCAATCATATCTACCAAACAAATGCAGGAAAAAAGTACAGGGAAAATGCTTCCTGCTGCGTCCCTACTACCCACCCTCTTATTTCCTTAACCGGCAGCCTGCCAGTCTGCCACTCACTCAGTCATTGTCCAGTTACTGTTCATGTCGGTCGTGTCCAGTTACTGTTCGTGTTCTACTGTACACGTGTGTTTGAGTGGTGCAAGTATGGCCCTCCAAGCGAGCAGCAACCGCTACTGATGAGCCAACCCTTAAGCACTCAACGTTATGAATCTGGTGATGAGCAACACTGATAGGAGCATAATTCCCTACAAAACTCTGTTTGTAGATATGAAGAGAAAATGGTCTCAGTTGACCATCACAGTGTTCTTCACAAGGAAGCCTGCTGCTACCCCTACTGCTACCCCTGCCGCTACCCCACCACCTCACCTGAACCCCAACCCGTGGCAGAACCTGACTCAGTTGCTAACTCTGACCCTGGCGATGTTGGTAGAGACACTGGCAGTGAAGAGTTAGAATCCACACACTAGACTCATCATGCCATGCAGTGACACTCCATATAATCACCTCCATTCAACTGTCATCAGTAACTGCATGGCTATCATCACCATCATCATCATTACAAGTCGTCAGAGTTCGTCTGCCTAACCTTACGAGTGGTCAGTGTTTTGTTTGTTATTGAACCATAACATGTATATACAATATTTTACCATGTTTTCATGTGTTTTATGATTGTTTGTGGTTCAATAGGGTAAGGAAGCAGTACCGTTAGGCTAAGTAAATGCTATTATTATATTTTCCTACAATATATTTGTGCATCAAAACATTTGCGAATGCTACAGTACAGTATTATTATATTTTCCTACATCACATTTGTGCACCAAACATTTGCTAATTTTCAAGATTCGCGAGATTTTTGATCCCCTAACCCTTGTGAATGTGCAGGGTCTCCTGTATTTAAACGAGGGGTTTGGGATATTGGCCGTTTGGAGTGACATCTAAACTGTCATATCTGAGCACCTCTGCAATGATGGTGAAAGTAATGAATGATGATGAAAGTTTATTCTTACTTCTTTGGGTCACTCTGCCTTGGTGAAAGTGGCCGTGTTAAAAATATATATATATATAATGCCAAATTTCAGCACATTAACCCTTTCAGGGTCTAGAGGGCAAATTTCAAAGTGTGCACCAGTGTCCAAGAATTTTCAAAAAATAATTTTTTTATTTTTTTCTTATGAAATGGTAGAGAATCTTTTTCTGAAGGTAATAAAACAAAAAGTATGAAATATGGTGGAAAACTGACGAAATTATGCTCTCGCAAATTCTGATGTGTCAGCGATATTTATGCATCGGCAATTTTGCCGACTTTGACTCCTATTTTATGCCAATTACATTATTCCAGTTGCCAAATTCTTAGTTATTTCAGTAGTATTACTTCTATTCTATTGATTGAGCACAAGAAATCACCAAATCAACTGTTTCAACTACAAAATAATGTGATTGGAAATTGGTAATTTGGCCAATTAAGTGCAAAGTTCAAAATACAGTGGACCCCCGAGTTTCGGCAGCCTCGACTTTCGCGAAATTCGACCTTTGGCGAGTTTTTTTTGGGAAAAAATTTGGCCTCAAGTTTCGTGAAAAAACTCATGTTTCGGCGACCGTCCGGTACCCGTCCGCCCATCACCGCGCACACAAAGCCAGTCTCCCACGCCATTCACGCTCAGTGTACCATTGTTTACCAACACGTGACCATCACTCCGTGGGTTCATACAATACATTTCATAATAATCCATTGTTTTTTGTGCTTGCAACTGCTAAATAAGTCATCATGGACCCAAGGAAAGCTAGTGCAAGCCCTTTGGTAAATAAAGTGAGTATCGGGGATGTGGAAGAGTTGGTGGAGGACCACAGGGAAGAGCTAACCACTGACGAGCTGCAAGAGCTTCAACTGGAACAGCATCAGACCACAGCCAAGGAACTTGCTTCAGAGGAGGAGGAAGAGGTAGTGGATGAGGTGCCTTCTTCAGTGATTAAGGACATGTGTGGAATGTGGAATGAGTTGCAAGGTTTTGTTTAAAAGTATCACCCTGACCAAGCTGAAACAAGCCGTATCTGCAACATGTACAATGACAGTGTTGTGTCCCACTTCAGGGAAATCTTAAAGAAACGCCAGAAAAAGACCTGTCTGGATAGATATTTTATGCGCCAGGGGTCAAGTGACTCTCAAGTTGTTCCCAGTGGCATTAAAAGAAGAAGGGAAGTAACCCCAGATAAAGGACTTGCTACCTAAAGTCCTAATGGAAGGAGATTCTCCTTCCAAACAATAGTGTACACCTTCCTCCTATCACCTCCCATCTTCCATCCACCCAGAAGTCTTCAGTAAAGGTAAGTAATATTATTTGTTTTAAATGCATGTACTTGATTTCTGATTGTTTTCATTATGTAAATCTTTATTTAATTTGAAAAAAAAAAACTTATTTTAATATTTTCGGGTGTCTGGAACGGATTAATTTTATTTCCATTATTTCTTATGGGGAAAATGGTTTCAAGTTTTGTGAATTTCGACCTTCGGCGGGCTCTCTGGAATGGATTAATCACGAAACTCGGGGGTCCACTGTATTCCAATTTCAAAGTAGGGTCCAGAATAAAAAATGCAGGCATTCCTGGAACTAAACTAACATTTCCTCTGTTCATTAGTTACGTTTTCAGGCTTTACAAATGAATTCCATTTTGATTTTTATTCACATAATGATTTTTATTCAAACCAAAAAATAAAAGATTTACTGTTAGGCAATATTGTAATAATTGTATAAATAATATCACCACATTTGTGAACGTATATTAGACCCACCAGCTGGCGTGTATTAGACGTGTGAGGTCATTTGTTTACTCTTGAGCAATTTAACATTTTCACTACTTTGAGCTCAATTTCAAGTCATTTCCAATAATAAAACCAATCAAAATCATCTCTATTTCTGTAATATATCTTCCATTCTATCAAATGAGACCAAGAAATCACAAATACAACCATAAAAAACATAAAAAAACACTGCAAAGTCGCTGTTTTAATTGAAAACTATGGTCTAAGTTTTTTTATCTCATTTTGCACTGTGTTGCAGGATTTGTTTTATGTGGTGCACACATACCACATAGATTTATTCTCTCATATCTAGGCCCAAATTTCCTTCTCACAGCTTATCAGAGTGAGCCGAGCTCATGGCACAGATCCACGGTTTGAACCCTTAACGTAAAGCTGTAGATCTACGGCATGGACCCTGAAAGGGTTAATCTGCTTTTATTTATAGATGGTGTCCACCTCTATTTCAATTTTTTCATATTTGTACGTATATATTTCTTGGTGAATTTCAAGTCTATGGGAAAGCATTCATTCTATAAAAAAAATAATTTGACACAGGATTTTCTGAAATGCTTCCCTTCTGATCAGGAACTTGCCTATATAATGGACACTGTAAAAAAAAAAAAAAAAAAAAAAAAGACTGCAAATAAGCAATCATATGTTGAGTGATATACCATTATCACTACAAACTGCAAAGTCTTGTGAAATAAACTGGTAATCTATATAAATCAACTAACTTAACTAGTTTCATTTGAAAACAAATGATTACACAGCTGTCACACACTTCCATCTTAATATGCTGTTTCCCATATCAAACTCAATTTAAAATTTACATCATGAAAATTATAGGTTTCCAAAATATACAGAATAGACAACTCAAATATTTATGCAAGGTTGCTAAAAAAGTGACAAACATTTTGATTCAAACACAAAAAATCCTCCCTTCAAACACAAATATGTCACACAATACAAAATAAAAAGAAGACAAAACAATGACCTTAAAATACCTAAACTCCCACTACTCAGTAGTGTATCAACCTCTCACACTCAGTTTTGTGTCCATGATGGTTAAGGAAATAATGAATTCAATTCAATGATTACTAAACAGTGCTTATATGATAATGCACCCCCTCCCCCTCACTGTCACCTCGCAACATTTCAAGGGGAAGAACATCAACCTACTCTACAGCTCGTTTCTCTTATAGCGGACTTGTTAATTACATACATGGCAGACTCATCAACTATTCACATGATAGATTCATTACATGGAAATCCCATGTTTAAAAAAACAGTTTGCTTCACTCCCTTTTGCCAGTTATGAGAATCAAACTTTAAAATACATATACAGACACCAACTCTAACAGAGTACATGTCACATTTTTAAAGGTAAATTTAACTGAATATTTAAAGCTTATTAAATAATTTTCAAATTAGTTAAAAAGTAACGACAACACTGTAAGAAGCAGCATTTAATCCAACAGAAGGTTTAATGAAAATTTAATGACAAATTATAATAATTTCACATTTTGTTATCAGCATTACCTAACTGGAAAACCCATCTGCAGATCTCTTATTATTCTAAAATCAAATCTTTTTATGATACAGTGACCATTTTAGCCTTTTTTCTTACATTTGATTAATTCATTTTCCCAACTGTATTGGGTATACTATTACGCTAACTCATCAGTGTAAGTACAATATAACAATCCCCACCTGCATGAATTTCTTAAATACTGAAAAACAGAGAAAATTTTCCAAACTTTCCGAACAATCATTATCTTTTGATAAATCAGCGATAGTCATTATCCCCCTCAAACATACGCATGTATTAAACTTTCATAACTATAAAACAATACATTCAAAACACTAATTTAAAAGTAACACAATAAACCCTCATCTGGTTAAATACAGAGTGAAACTTGAGAAAATCATCAGGAGTTCATCCAGACTGACTCCCAAGTTGAAGGAATGAGCCATGAAGAAAAAACACTAAGAAAATGACATAAAATGCCCAGAGACAGACAAGGTAGAATATACTATGAGGGTCAATCAAGAACAAGAGGACATGGCTGGAAATTACACATCCATACGAGTCACATGAAAAAAAAAAAAAAATCAATACATATGAATAGTAAAGAAGTGGAAAGAACTAAACAAAAGTTGTGGATATATACTCCATACGAAGGTTCAAAGTAAATAAAATATAAAGCTATTTTGCAATGGTTAAAAGTTAAAAGGCAATATCATGAGCCAGGGTTAACCTTCTCCCTCTGAAATCCTCCCCCTCCCCCCACAACATTCAGCAAACTTGGGTAACTAACTCACTCACTCTCACACACAAAAAAGAATGTTTACACAAAAGTAGGTACGAGTTGGCATATTATAAATGACAAGCACATCTAATACTAGAGTTTGATATAATCCTTGATATATGAAATTTTCAATAGGATTCGGAATTTTATCTTTTAAACAGCATCAATACTGTATCACACAATATATTATTTGGAGTTCAGGTTAAGCAATATTTTACTCAAAACCATATTCCCAATCACACTTACTTAAAAAATATAAAATGCTACATGAAATACATTCCCATATGGACTGAGCATCAATCATACACAAAGATACAGGTTGGCCATCACTAATCCGGCATCACTGGGACCTGTCGTGTGCAGCATTAATGAGTTTGCCGGATTACAGAGTGGTTAGGTTAGAATACACTTAATTAACCTATCAACAGAGACTTTCTGCCACATCTTCCTCATTTTCATCACTGCTTTCTTCTCCACTGGCTTGCTGCTGTGGATTTACAACCATCTGCATGATTTCTGAGTCAGTATAATGATGAAATTTTAAATTATGCTAGCCTAAATTAGTGCTGGATTACTGATGGAACCGAATAAGTGATTGCCGGATTAGTGATGGCCAACCTGTACTATACAGATTCCCTACATAGCAAATTGCTTTATTAAAGAAAATAGTTGTAACACTTGATGAGTCATCAGAGACTTTCAAAATTCTAGGACAGGTCTCAAACACCACATTTCCTGCATACCATCACTGGATGATAGCAACAATACATTGCCTAATTATGGAGTAATTACTTTCAAGGAAAATGTGTATGGTGACTTTTTGTAACATTCTGTCTGTCACACTATGTAATTATCTAAATTGACTTAATTCTGCTCAAACTGTGCAAAAATTTGTAATTTAAGTCTTTAAATAAAAGCACTTTTAAGATTAAAAGTGACAGAGCTGTTTATTACATGATTTATATATTTAACTTTATATACTGTACAAGTTAAAAAAAAAAAAAAAAAAAAAAAAAAGCTTTACCATGACAGCACAGTACTAAGTTTATGACTGATTTATATTGCTGAGAATCGATTCTACATGTATTCACCAAAATGTAAGCATTTCAAATCTGATAAACATATCAAAGCTTTTAAACAATGATTACCATATTTTATCAAAAATGTCAAGTATACTGTACTGACCATGAACCTGCACTTGTTTACAATCATAAAGTAAACCGGTAGTTCATTCTATTAAAACAAATTTAATAAAACCTTTTACGCTGCTGTTCTTTCTGCTTGGTGTAGAACAAACCACCTATGAACACACACCCACAGATGGTAATGACTCCAAAAATTAGTAAAAATATCTTCTTCCAAGTCGTAAGGGCTGACGGTTTCGGGTCCTCGACATGATCTGTAAGAAAAGGCAAATATTAAATACAAAACTGTAATGCATTTAGTTATTTTTGAAAATCTTGCTTCAACTACTTAAAGGTTCTTGAAGATATAGCCTAGTCTAACCCAAATCGATGAAGCAGGATGAATTCAGTGGTAGCACCAAGGAAATGTATGGGGAGGGAGGACTTCAGCCCTCCTTAATTTCTTTCAGCCCCCAAAGCCGGGGACCCCTGTAGTGAAAATAATTCAGTCATTCAACTTATTCTTAACCCTTAAACTGTCCAAATACAGATCTACATTCTTACCTCTAGCACTCCAAACATAGATCACTGTTTTATTTTTCCTGCCTTCAAGTTTGGCAGGATAGGCCTGAGAGGCCTAGTTGTGAGAGAATGGGTTTGTGCACTCAGTGTGCACAGTATGAAAAAAATCAAAGACCCCCACAGTACCGTGTGGTATCACCAGTTAGCTTCACCACCAGCTCGGGTCAACATCATGGCAAATTCCCAAGATTCACTCACACCTCATCATATTAACACACTTATTTGAGGAAAGTGATATAGAACCCAAATTTAGTGGATATGAGACTGATGTGGTCACTAATGATCAAGGAATTAGTGAAAATATTGATGATAACCCAGATGACCCTCAGCCCATCACCTCTGGTGTAGCCAGTGTTGACTGCGTTGCCACACCAGACCCTCAACCAAGCACCTCTGGGGTGGCCAGTGCAGGCACACCAGACCCCTCAGCCCAGCATCTCTGAGGTGGCCAGTGTTACTTCTCAGAGGTAACTATGCAAGTGGAAATGATCATTTTCTCGCAGTTTTGGTGAAAGTGACAAGTGACAGTGAGATTGATTTTATGCCCTTAGAGGAGTTGTCGACTGACAGTGATGTACATTATTCCCTAGTGAAGCATACATTTAGACATCGTTGCCTATATTCAAACAGTGAGCCATATACAGTGGAACCTCAACTTACGATTTTAGTCTGCTACGTGACCTTGTGGGGAAAGGCTGTAACTTAACCCTTAACTGTCCAAACGTAGATCTACGTTTGCAAGCGTAGTGCTGTGAACGTAGACCTACGTTTTATTTTTTCTTTCAAATTTGGCCCAACAAGCTCGAGTCGCTTAGACATGAAAGAATGGGTCTGTGCACTCAGTGTGTGCAATATTAAAAAAAATCTGGGAGCACTTAGTACCTTGTGGGAGCACTGGTTCAATTGAGTGCCAGCTAGAGTAAATAGCGTGGCAAATACCAGGGACTCACTGATGCCATGTTGAATTAACACTCCCATTTTAAGAGGAAAGTGAAAATAAGTTAGATAAATACACGAGTGAGTGTGGGTGGGTGTGAGTTGGACCTGACTAGCTTGTGCTACTAAGTCTGATGTCATGCTTCTTCCTTCAGTAGATGTGAACTGACTAGGTGGATCACTGGTCTAAGCTGAGGGGGATGGGGTGACATGGACCTGCCTTGCATGGGCCAGTAGGCCTGCTGCAGTGTTTCTTATGTTCTTATGCATTCAGCAGGCTGGCCAGCTGGCTTGCTTTGGTTGTCTCTCTGTCTATCTCTCTGTCCGTCTATATCTCTGTCCGTCTATATCTCTGTCCGTCTATATCTCTGTCCGTCTATATCTCTGTCCGTCTATATCTCTGTCCGTCTATATCTGTCCGTCTATATCTGTCCGTCTATATCGCTATGTCTCTGTCTATCTATATCTCTATATCTATCTATATCTCCCTCACATATACACAAGTACAATTATACATAGTGTAAATTACCTAGGATAACCCAAAAATTCCAAGCAAAGACAGACAGATAGACAAACATGTTTGTGTGTATCAGTGAAAACAAATAAAGCCAGGGTTCCCCGAGCGCCCATTTATCAAATGTCACCGAACTGTCAACAGGTGTCATAACACCATTCTTCAAGGAATTTTATATACTATACTCAAGGCAGACAGAAAGACAGATAAGCAGAGACAGACAGGCAGACAGAGACATTTACACAGATAGACAGACAGACATACACAGATAAACATGTTTATGTGTAACAGTGATAAATACAGCGAGGGTTAGCTAAATACATGAGTGAGTGTGGGTGGCTGTGAGTTGGACCTGACTAGCTTATCCTACTAGGTCTGGTGTTGTGCTCCTTCCTTCAGTGGATGTGACCTGACTAGGTGGGTCATTGGTTTAATCCAGGGGAGGGGGGGAGGACATGAACCTGCCTTGCTTGGGCCAGTAGGCCTGCTGCAGTGTTACTTCTTTCTTATGTTCTTATGTATTCGGCAGGCTGGCTGGCCAGCTGGTCGACTGGCTGGCCGACTGGCTGACCACCTGGCCGGCCCCTTGGCCAGCTGGCTGGCTTGCTTCGGCTGTCTCTCTGTCTATATCTCTGTCTATCTGTGTCTCTCTCACATGCACACATAAGTACAGTTATTATACAGAGTTAATTACCTAGGATAACCCAAAAATTCCAGGCAAAGATAGACAGACAGACAGATGGACAAACATGTTTATGTGTATCAGTTAAAACAAATAAAGCCAGGGTTCCCCAAGTGCCCATTTATCAAATGTCACTAAGCTGTCGACAGTTGTCATAATATCTTCTTCAAGGAGTTTCATATATGTATACTCCAGGCAGACAGACAGATTAGCAGAGGCAGGCAGATAGACACACACACAGATAGACAGACACAGACAGAGACACAAGACATGTTTGTATGTAACAGTGATAAATACAGCTGGAGCAGTGGGCATTTATCAAATGTCACTGGGCTGTCAACAGTATAGGGATGCCTTTCGTAACACAATGCTTCTAGGTATATGCCAGTGTGTCTAAAACATTACCGGGACCTATAAATACTTTGTATACAATTCTAGACAATAGTAAATAACCCAGGCAGATGAAAATGTTCACCTGTTAATATGATTGTGACTATCCGAGTACTATTTCAGTACCTAATACACCTACCATCCGACTTACGACCTGCTTGACTTACGACCACTCGACTTACGACCGTGTCTTTTATGCCAAATTTCTGGGATATAAACAACTATTTGTGTTGTACACAGTGTTTATCCTAAACCTTACAGTATAAAATACAGTACTAACAACATAAAAAGTCAAGTAAAACATGAAATACCAAAATAAAACAAAAAAAGTCATTACAAAAATGTTTTGTTGATATTCAGTAGTAAAGTTCGACTTACGACCATTTCGACTTACAACCGGTTTCTCGGAACCGAACTCGGTCGTAAGTCGGATGGTAGTGTATTTGTGTCAGAACAAAGATTGGCTATGAAATCACAAGAACTATTACAAATTGTAATTACCAGAACAAAAAATATATAAATTAAAATAAAAACAAGAAAAAAAGGTATATTGGCAACACTTCTGCAAGTGGCAAGAGTTGATGTTGCCGCGAGGCGAGTATCCAGAGCCAACTTTGGGGTCTTATATCTCAGTAAGTACTGACACTAAAAAAAATTTTTTTAATCATATAACATGCAGAAAAATGTGCTCTTTATTAACCCGTAAAAGGTCCAAATGTATATATACGTTTTTACCGCTAGTGCCCCAAACGTATATATACGTTTTGTGTGTCCTATATTTAACATTGCCATGATAAGCTTGAGTCGCCTAGACATGTGAGAATGGGTGTGAGCATTCACAGTGCACCATATTAAAATAATTGGGGATGCCTGGGTACCATATGCTCTTTTTTCCTATTAAAAAACAAAAATGTTTTTTTCTCAAAAAAGTTGGGGCAGTATGGTAGTGAACGTATATATACGTTTGGACTGCTTACGGGTTAAAAAAAAAAAAAAAAAAAAAAAAAAAAAGATTTTTCAGAATATTCGGAGCACCACATGAGTGAACATAGATCTTTGTTGGGACAGTTTAACCCTTAAACTGTCCAAACATAGATCTACGCTCACGTGCAGGGGGGGGGGGGCTCTGAACATAGATCTACGTTTTTTTTACATGCTTGCATATGGGGAAAATAAAGGTGGGAGGGCCATGCACTTGAACATAGATCTACATTTGGACAGTTTAAGGGTTAAGGGTTAAATGAAGAAAATTTATTTGATATGCAGTGGAACCTTGACTTACGAGTTTTTTGAGACACGAGCCATCCCTGGGTCGATTTTATGCTCTGAGTTACGAGCCAACATTTGAGTTATGAGCCAGCTCCCCTCTCCCTCCTCCCCCTCAACCCAAAACCTGGACAACTCGCCCGTTTATCTATAATTTCATGCTTTAATTCCATGGAAATCATTCTCTCTTTCTTCTCAGCAATAATAATAATATACTATTACAGTCAAGTCACTCAGTAAGTCAGTCAGTCAGATCATTCAGTAAGTCAGTCAAGTCATTCAGTAAGTCAGTCAAGTCACTCAGTAAGTCAGTCAAGTCAAGTCAGTCAGTCATTCAGTCACACAAACTTATGTTAACCTCTTTTTCAGTGTACAAAGTAACACTTCAGTTATCACTACAGGTTAACTCTTGCTTAATATCTTTGTTAATTCTAAGACTTAAGTGCTTATATCTCTTCGTGCCACTTTCAGCAACACTAGTATGGCTACTGGGTGTCATGACTGCTTGGCAGATACAAGATATAGTAATTAAAATATCATAACACAATTGACAAACACAGCCGCCTTGTAGCAGAGAGAGACTGGACACGTATGAATTATGAATGCTTGGATGGTGGGGTGGTGGTGTTGGGGAGTGGTAGGGAAGGGCTTCCCGGCTGCTACACAACAAGGTGGCCGCTTGAGCAAAAGAGAATTTTTTTTTTCCTTCCCACAAACTGAACCATGTTAAATTAATTATACGACGTGTTACATAAAACTGTGCAGTAATTCTTTAATGGCAGTCTACTGTATTATTATATTAACGATAGAGTTTCAGATCCCTAAATTAATAATAACAATAATACTACTACTACTACTAATAATAATATAATAATAACATTATTATTATAATGATAGAGCTTCAGTTCCCTAAATTAATAATAATAATAATAATAATAATAATAATAATTATAATAATGATAGAGCTTCAGTTCCCTAAATTAATAATAATAATAATTATAATAATGATAGAGCTTCAGTTCCCTAAATTAATGATAATAATGCATAATACGTACGTAATAATAATTCAGACTGTTTCTGCTGGCTGGCACAGCTGGTAAGCAGTAAACATGTTTACATCCCTGTGGCAGCAGTTCTCTCATGCTTGTTTGCATTTTTTTACAGTCATTTGGCCAAATTTCTTTCTTCTACTCATGGGTCCTAGTGATCTACTGCAGTTAGCCTCAAAAATACTGCATTTTCTCTTACAGTAAGAACATGGGAAGACACTATAGTCAAATTGGGACAGAAATGGCGAAGCTTCTGCCGCTGCCTCTGCCACCATATTATGGCCTATTTTATTCATTCTAGAGTATATATCATGTTTCTGTGCTAATTATATTGTTTATTATGTCATATTAGATGAATTGTGATAGGTAAATAAGCTGTACAGTTGATAATAGCATCATATTCAAGTATTTCTTATCTCTCCAGAGCGAAGGAATGAATTAATGGCTTTTCAATTAATTTAAATGAGGAAAATTAATTTGATATACGAGCAAACTGAGTTACAAGCTAGCTCCTGGAACGGATTAAACTCGCAAGTCAAGGTTCCACTGTACGAGCAAATTGAGTTACGAGCTAGGTCACAGAATGCATTAAACTCAAGTCAAGGTTCCACTGTATACAAGTAGATATTAAACTTTCCTGTCTTACTCAACTTGCAGTATTGTTGTAAAACCCAAAAATGGGTCTACTTGCAAATACTGCTTATGGTAATTTCTTTTCAATAATTAATGTAGGATAAATACAGTATATTCAATATGTGACACAGCTCAAGAGCTTTACCTCTTAATTTAAAAAGCACTTTTCTGAACTTTTGCAGGTGATAAGTATTAGTACAAAATAATCTAAAATTGTAACACAGTATAGAGTATGTTACTCACCTCTGGGAGGCTCAAAAAAGGAAGCAGAAGGCATTATGTTCACTCGATCCTCAAGGATATCCTACAAAGATATTTTTTTTATTAGTAAGTTATAGAAAAATAAAATGACTTTCATAAAGAATTTTTCATAAATACAATAGATTTTGGGAAATTTTTAAGTAAAAATGCATTTCAGAACAAATTATTAAAAATTATATATTTTTTTTAATCTGTCAGCTGTTTCCCATCAAGGCAGAGTGACCCAAAAAGAAAGAAAAACCCAAAAAGAAAAAAATCCCAAAAGAAAGAAAAAACTTTCATCATCATTCAGCACTTTCACCATCACTTATACATAATCGCTGTCTTTGCAGAGGTACCCAGATATGACAGTTTAGACGTCCCTCTAAACTGCCAATATCCCAAACCCCTCTTTTAAAGTACAGGCATTGTACTTCCCACTTCTAGGACTCAAGTCGGGCTAACTGGTTTCCTTGAATCCCTTCACAAAATATTACCCTGCTCACACTCCAACAGTTCGTTAGGTCCCCAAAACCATTCGTCTTCATCATTCCTATCTAAATGCTCGCACACGCTTGCTGGAAGGCCAAGCCCCTCACCTACAGAACCTCCTTTACCCCTCCCTCCAACCTTTTCGAGGACGACCCCTACCCTGCCTTCCTTTCCCTTCAGATTCATACGCTCTCCAAGTCATTCTCCTCTGTTCCATTCTCTCTAAATGACCAATCCACCTCAACAACCCCTCTTCAGCCCTCTGACTAATACTTTTAGTAACTCCACACCTCCACCTAATTTCCACACTACCAATTCTTTACATAATATATTTACACCACACACTGCTAAAAGTTTTTCAAAGCATTATTTAAAACAATATTCACACTGCCTAAACTCAAACCACTAGCCCAAATAAACAGAGCTTCCTTAATTGTGTTATATAATTTTCTTGAGTTTTACATGCCGTGTAATCCTCCTCCTTTAAGCACTTGTCATCTTCAGAACATGAGCTACTAAAGATTCCTTCAACATATTTTTTATATAGTCATTTAGTTTCATGGAAAACACCTTGATTGGAGAAGTGGTATTAGATGGTAAAAACATTCTAATATCTTCTAAGGTTAAGGATGCATAGGTAGCAAATTACTAAGTCTTAACTTCGCTAGACTTCACTGCATATTGCTTTCATCTGATGCGCTGCAACCTCTTCACAAAAATTACTCACTCTCGCTCTTGTGTGCTTGCTCTCTCACTCTTGCTTGTGCTTGCTCTCTCTCATTTTTTCACTCTCACTTTGGTGCACTCTCTCACGTGAGCTCCTCACTCTTGCTTGTGCTCTTTCTGTCTCACTCTCACTTGTGCTTTCTCTCTCTCACTTTTCTGTGCTCGCTCTCACGTGTGAACTCCCTCATTCTTGCTTGCGCTCTCGCACACCCACTCAGTCTTGTGCTTGCTCTTTTGCTCTTGCTGGTAGAAAATATCCTCACATATTTTGGCTGGTGAATAATGCATTTCAAATAATAATTGTTTATTATTAAAAAATAATTAAAGTTTAACATTTTATATCATTTATGTTTCTTGGCACAACTGCAAAAAAACAAATAATCAAGAATTTGCTGCACTGTTATTTACCAAACTATGTACAGTGAACCCTTGGTTTTCACGAGTCTCAGTTTTTGTGAATTTTGGTTATCAGCAATTTTTTTCCCCAAAATATAGCCTTGGTTTTCGCGATTTCCCTTGGATTTCGGTGGCCGTACAGAATGTGTCCCAGCGGCCCCGCACACACGTCTCCCACAGACGCATTCAGAGTCAGTCTGGCATTTTTTTCGGCGAGTGGGCATCATCCCCCCCGTGTTCATATGAAACATTTTGTAATAATCCATTGTTTTTTGTGCTTGCAACTACTAAATAAGCCACCATGGGCCCAAAGGTTGTGGAATGTATTGTGGCATTGGGGAATTCCATGGGGTTTAATGTGAGTGGCCAGGATATGGAAGAGTTGGTGGAGGACCACAGTGAAGAGCTAACTACTGAAGAGCTGCAAGAGCTTCATCTGCAACAGCAACAGACCACAGCTGAGGAAATTGCTTCACGGGAGGAACAGAAAGGGAAGAAGGTGCCTTCTTCAAAGATTAAGGACATTTGTGCAAAGTGAAGTGAGGTGTAAATGTTTGTCTAGGAACATCACCCTAACAAAGCTGTTGTAGGCCATGTCTTCGACATGTTCAATGACAATCCCTTATCGTATTTTAGGCAAATCTTAGAGAGATGCCAGAAACAGAGCTCTCTGCAACAATTTTTTGAGTGACAGGGGTCCAGTGACTCAAGCTGATTCTAGTGCCATTAAAAAACAAAGAAAGGAAGTAACCCTGAATAAGGGTTCGGTAAAAAAGTCTTTATGGAAGGGAATTCCCTTCCAAACAACAGTAACTTCTCCTCCCTCTCACCTCTTCCCATCTTCCATACACCAACAAGAGTCTTCAATAAAGGTAAGTGTGATGTTATTGCTTTATATTGGTTTGTCATTCTTTTCTGTATGTAAATCTATATTTAATCTCTAAAAATTATTTTTTTGTTAATACTTTTGGGTGTTCTAGGTAGTAGGTTGGTAGACAGCAACTGCTCAGGGAGGTACTACCGTCCTGCCAAGTGAGTGTAAAACGAAAGCCTGTAATTGTTTTATATGACGGTAGCATTGCTGGTGTCCTTTTTTCTGTCTCATAAACATGCAAGATTTCAGGTACGTTTTGCTACTTCTACTTACACTTAGGTCACACTACACATACATGTACAAGCATGTATGTACACACACTCCTCTGGATTTTCTTCTATTTTCTTTCTAGTTCTTGCTCTTGTTCATTTCTTACCTCCATGGGGAAGTGGAACAGAATTCTTCCTCCGTAAGCCATGCGTGTAGTAAGAGACGACTAAAATGCCAGGAGCAAGGGGCTAGTAACCCCTTCTCCTGTATATATTACTAAATGTAAAAGGAGAAACTTTCGTTTGTTCTTTTGGGCCACCCTGCCTCAGTGGGATAAGGCCGATGTGTTGAAAGAAAGACTTTTGGGTGTCTGGAACAGATTAATGGGAATTACATAATCTCTTATGGGAAAAGTGGTTTCGATTTTCGTGAATTTTGGTTTTCGGCAGACTCTCTGGAACAGATTAATCACGAAAACCAAGGGTCCACTGTACATTTATCTGTGTAGGTGCTAAGGCATATAACAGCACATGGAGAAAATTACCAGTAACCAAAACTTAAAAGCTTGGGAGATTTACCCACAATCTTCTTTTTTCTCTCTCCCTCTCACACACACACACACACACACACACACACACACACACACACACACACACACACACACACACAGAGGAGCTGAGTCTCGACCCCTGCAACCACAATTAGGCGAGTACACACACATGCTTGTTCTGGGGTATAATGGGTTACCCAAGAAGGCCGAGAACCAGGGGTCTGGTGGAACCTGAGAGCAAAGATTGGGAGGCAGAGCTCAAAAGAAGGAAGACTGGGGAAGGAAACTAGAAGAGCTTGGCAGGAAAATGGAGGAGAGGATAGCTGCAGAGAGCAGGAAGTGGGAGCAACAAGCCATAGAAGCAGAAGCTAAGATACAGTGCTTAGAACAGGAACTGAGAAACCTAAAACAGCTTAGAGAGAAATATGACAGTACAGACAAATCAAGAACTTCTGCATCAGGCACAGACAAGAGGCCTGAAGGGAGCATAAATGCTATACTGTATACAAGGGCACTATCAGACCCACATGGGGCCAAGGCAAAGATGAGGAGCACACTAGGAACAAATGAGAGGTCTGAAGACAAGGAAGAGGCTATGACATATGCATAGACTAACAGACACCAGCAGGGGCTAGGAACAGTTGAGCAGGAAAGACAGTCCACTGAGCATAGGGGCCTCAGCGTGGGAAGAGATTGATGGAAGGAACTAAAAGACCTCAGAGGACGCAATAGGAGACACAGTGGTAGGACGAAAGGGCGAGATCAGTTTTCGTCTATGGGCTCCAGGAAGTTGAAGGGGAAACCTATGAAGAAAGTGACTGAAGGTGTCATGAAAGCAATAGGCGAGGGTGACGTGACCCAGGTGGCAAACTTTCGGAGAATTGAGTGGTTTGCAAGGGGATGGAAATGGCCTCTCAAAGTAGTTTTCAAGACAATCAACTTGAACCATGATTCTACAGGAGAGAGCATGACAGAGAAACAAAAGTACCAGAGTGTGTACCTCGGTTGGGACAGAACACAAGAGGAAAGGCTGATACTGAAGGAGTACAAAAACGAAAGGAGAAACAAGAGGAAATGACAAAGATGAGCAGAAGAACCCAGTTGCAGGCAGAAGGGCAAACATACCCTCCCAGATGAGTCATAGGGATGTTAGGAAGTATTTCTTCAGTCACAGAGTAGTCAGGAAGTGGAATAGCCTAGCAAGTGAGGTAGTGGAGGCAGGAACCATACATAGCTTTAAGATGAGGTATGACAAAACTCAGAGCAGGGAGAGAGGACCTAGTAGCACTCAGTGAAGAGGCAGGGCCAGGAGCTGAGTCTCGACCCCTACAACCACAATTAGGCGAGTAGTACACACACACACACAGCATACAAGAACATACACATACAAACACGAGCACACACACACAAGTGCACACACGCGCACACACACACAAGTGCACACACGCGCACACACACAGCATACAAGAGCACACATACAAACATGAGCATGCGTGCGTGTGCGCGCGCACACACACACACACACACACACACACACACACACACACACACACACACACGCACACTTTCTGTGAAATTGGAAAAGAGGTTGGAGGAGACAAAGAATTGGGAGGCACAAGTCGAAACTGCAGTAGCCAGGATAAGGGTCCTAGAAGTTGAGATAAACAGGCTGAAGCGAGTTACAGGGGCAGTGACCAGAGAAGACACAGCATATGAAGCTGAGAGGCTGAACAGGAAGGAAGGAGATATGAATTATGCTAAGGTCATATCAGCCTGCCAAGAAGGGCCAAGGAGTGAAAGGGAAGAAAAGCTGGGT